GCATCCTTTAAGAGAAGCAGCATCACCAGTGGATCAGGGCTCGTTTTTCCACTGACACTGACCAAGGCCAGACCTGTGTCTGTTCGGTGGTGTCCCTGCAGCTGACTGCGGCCCCTTCCCTGTCCACAGTGCACACAACCTGCAGGCTGGGTGACAGCATCTACCAGTAAAGCAGCAGAGGCACATTCCCCCCCTCAGGGATTTCGCCCCACGAAGGATCTGATTCATTACCTGAAAGGATTCAATTTCTCACATGCTTCCCATCCGCAAAGACCACAGAAAACAATGACAGCAAAAGCAACCCAGGGGAATGTGTTGGTTCACCCAGCTTGCCAGAGTGGGCCCTCCCGTGTCCAGATCCTGGCTGGGATGCCTCCTAGCTGCAAGACCTCGGACAAGTCTAACATCTGTGCATGCCCGTGCTCAGCTAACAGACTGGGAAGTAGCCTCGACCTCATGGAGATGTTGTGAGAATGAAGTGAGAGTCCCCTCAGAAAAAAAAAAAAAAACAGTTTGGCTTGGTGCGGTGGCTCACACCTGTAATCCTAGCACTTTGGGAGGCTGAGGTGAGTAGATCACCTGAGGTCAGGAGTTTGAGACCAGCCTGGACAACATGGTGAAATCTCGTCTCTACTAAAAATACAAAAATTAGCCGGGCATGGTGGCAGGTGCCTGTAATCCCAGCTACTGGGGAGGCTGAGGCAGGAGAATTGCTCAAAGCTGGGAGGTGGAGGTTGCAGTGAGCCAAGATGGCGTCACTGCACTTCAGCCTGGGCAACAGAGTGAGAAGAAAAAAAACAAAACAAAACAAAACTCAGCCCAGGAGAACAGACCCAATGCTTGGGCCATGCCCCCTGCAATTACTAGTAGGTCCGCTCTGTTTGCTGTCACAGCCCCAGTGCCTATTTGAGCGTCTGACTTCAGGTTGGCACTCGAAAAATCCCTCAGATAATTTTTTTGTATTTCCTTCAAAAATATGTACCATCATGTTATATTAAAAATGCATTTTCTTCTCCTTAAAATTAGCCTGAACTTTTTGGGGTCTTGTAAAATATTGTAGGAAATAATGCATGGTACCCTCTTCTTAGAAAAAATAAAACTGAAGAGGCATAAGTAATGGCTGTGTTCAGAAGAAGTACACAGGGCGATTTAGTGGCTGACGTTATTGATTGGCCTTCTATTAAAGGTTGAGTAAACAAATAGAGCTTGTCTTTGCCCAAGTCTGAAATCATCACAAATACTATAATGTACACACCCTGGTGTCACAGTCCCCCTTTGCTTAGAACTGCATATTCCCAAAGTGTGTTCCATGGAACACTGGCCGCTAGAGATGTTCCACCGAAGAGGGGTTCCACTGTCAAAAAGCTTGGGAAATGCTCTCTATATTCTCTCTTCAATATTCTGAAAACTGGCTACTAGCTTTCTATTAAAGAAATACATCTTTTTTTTTTTTTTTTTTT